CAGCCTCCCAAAGCGATGGAAAGTTAATGGCTTCATGCTATAAATGGCTTTTCCCAAGACATCTGAGCGAGACTCCCTATCATGAGACCCTTTCTCCTCTTCAGCCCTTCCTTTTTCACGTGGGAAGATAATAGTTTAATTAAAATTTTACAATCAATAGTTTCTGCTGGTTTTTGAGAAAAGCTGACCTAAGAGACCCTTTAGTCCGCTTAGCAGGAGACTTCGGTAACATCCCTCATACAACTGTTGTTCACTTTCTGCTTTAGATAAACTCAGTCATGAGATCTTAGGAAATAAAATCATACCATTGATTGGTTAAGTTTTCAGTCTGTGCTATGGCTAATGCTACATGCAGTACCTCGATAAATTTCTCTGTGAAAGGAATATACACAAAATTTAAAAATTTAGGTCACGTCTGTTGCCTTTGAAGCCCTTTGAAAGTGCCTGGCCACTGCTCCTACCATTATTATTCACACTACATTTCATTGCAGCTATCTAAGCAACGCTGTGCCAACACTGTGCCTCTCTTAGGCTGCTCTGCTTTGCCAAAAATTGCTGTGCCTCTAATACATCAGTTCTCCTGATGTGTGGCAAGATCAACCTGCATTTTCTGCTAACCATCTCTTTCTAACCTATGTGCTATATTCTGTATATGGATCCTAAAACAGTGTTATTTTATGCTGCCGGTTTCTTAAAAACAAACAAACAAACAGAAAAAGTTATTTCTGATTTGCAACTTTCTCTCTCCAGGCAAAACTTGTCTATTAGACTCTTTGGATCATTGCTTTCTTATTTCAAGGGTCCTTATTAGAAGAATAAACTGAGGAATAGATGATGTTCTATACTCCAAATTATCCCCTTCTAGGGTGCAGCCATAGTAAATGGATCACATGCACATATCCGAATCCCTCATTCAATAGGAATGCTGTTCCGGAAAGCCCCTCAGCACCACAGGCTTCCCTGACTCTCCTTCCATTCATGCTCTGCTGTTCTAGCTCATCTTTAACCAAACTGTTGAAAAAGCTGCATGCAATCCTCATTCTATCATGTGGAATCAGTTGCTACCAGTTACTTAATTCCTTTTTAATTTTTTCTTTTTAAAGTACTGAGTTTAAGAGGGATTTATCACATTATTTTGGGTAGTTTTGAGCTCAGATGCATTCTAAATGACAACTGTGGACAACAGTCTATGCTGGGTAAATAGTGCCTTTTAAGGGGTGATGCTATCAGCCTTTTTTTTTCCTCCCTTTTTCACACTTTCTGTCTCCGTCTCACTCTCTCCTTCCTTTTCCTTCTTCCTTACATTTTTCTTCTGTGAATAAGTAGTTTGTTGAAAGCAGCAGAATTCCACATTAGCCTTGTCAGCTATATGAATGGTTAACACAGTCGCCTCAATATGGAGTCGTCTACCACCCTGTGAGTTGCTTTTTCCTTGCTTGGTGATGGATAACTCCCATATGCTAGAATCTGTGGGTCATCACTGTTACTGTGGGAATGCGGAAAGAAGTCAGTGTTGCTTTCGAGATGATGTGTTTCTCCATCTTTCTTTCATTATCATGCTCAACTTCCTGCCCACTCAACCCCCTAGAAGGCTTTTTTCACTTTTGATTCCCTAATCACTTCCCTTCGTCCCTATGAAATTTTAATACCACAGATATGTTACGTATCTCTTTGTTTATGCACTGTAGTCAGCCAACCATTGTAATAAATGTTTTATTTATTTCACCACTCCTTCCTACCTCTGCTAAGAATCATTTTTTTTACCTCTGGGGGCAATATTAATCTTCACAGAGAATTTATGCTTTCTAAAAAAGAAACTTCTGATAATACTGTCTATTTTCTTCTTTTGAGGGAAAGGCAGTTTGATATAATAAGTAGAGACTTGGGAGTCAGAGAAATGGAGGTTCTGTTTTTGCTACTACCAGCTGTGGGATCTTGAGAAAACACCTCTGAATCATATTTCATAAACAGTAAAACATAAGAAAATAGAGTTTATTCATAAGGTTGTTTGGAGATTAAATTTCAAATTCCTGTGTGTTCCTTAGCATAATGACACTCATGTAAGTTTAATTCCACAGTAGTTACTCTAGGTCATAGTGGTCAACTCATCAATTTCTTGATGTCAATTACCTTCTGTCTTCTTGAAATCATATTATTCATGGATTAATTCACACACTAGTTCATATTTATTTCCATAAGATGTGGCAACTTAATATAGACATTCTTCAAACTGGTTCGTTTTCCCTCTGGAAGGAAAAACAGCTTGTATTAATTAGAGCTCACAGAACCTAGATCACGTCAGGTAAAAACAGAATGTAGGCTCCATAGGTTAAGGAAAAAAATTCCTCGGGTATTCATATTTCCTGGGTCTAGAATTGAACAATAACTGATTTGATCTTTGCTAGAAATGTTGGGGTCTGCTCAGTAAAATGGACATTACCGAGCATATTACTAATAATGGTAGTCCCCCCTTATCCATGGGGGATACATTCTAAGACCCACAGGATACTCCTGAAACTGTGGATAGTACCAAAACTTACATATCCTGTGTTTTGTTCTATACATGCCTATTGTAATGTCTAATTTACAAATTAGGCACAATAAGAGATTAACAACAATAACTAATAATAAAATAGAAAATTAGAACATACTGTAATAAAATTTATGTGAATGTGGTCTCTCTCTCTCTCTCTCTCTTTCTCTCTCTCTCTCTCTCTCTCTCTCTCTCTCTTAAAATATCTTATTAACTCACCTATTTTCAGACCTAGGTTGACCTAGGTTGACCATGGGTAACTAAAGCCTCGGAAGGTGAAATATTGGATAAAGGGAGACTATTGTGATCCCTAGGAGCTCTTGAGAGTATGTCTTTTAAACCTGAATCCTTGCTATTGAGACTTTGATTCGCAGACCAGCAGCTCCAGCATTCCCTGGGAACTTATTAGAAATGCAGACTCTCAAGTCACACCTAAGAACTACTGATTCAGGATCTTCATTTTAATAAGGTTCCCAGCTGATCTGTATGCATTGTAAAGTTTGAGAAGCACTTTGCATAATAACTTTTCTTACTCTAACTTCTTACTCTAACTGCATCCAATAATCTTTTAATTAACACTATTTGCAAATGTTATTATCTATTCATACCTATTAACACTATTAACTAAATACTAAGCCCAGCCTTCATAAGTAAATCTAATGTTGTACGTTGGACACATCCATAGAGTGATTCTAAACTTTAGTTATGAGCTGGGTGTGGTAGCTCACTTTTGTAATCCCAGCACTTTGGAGGTCAAGCCAGGTAGATCACCTGAGGTCAGGAGTTCAAGACCAGCCTAACCAATATGGTGAAATCCTGTCTACTAAAAATGCAAAAATCAGCTGGGCATGGTGTCATTCACCTGCAGTCCCAGCTATTTGGTAGGCTGAAACGGGAGCACTGCTTGAACCTTGGAGATGGAGGTTTCAGTGAGCCAAGATAGCACTATTACACTCCAGTCTAGGTGACACAGAGAGACTCTGTCTCAAAAAAATAATAATAAATAAATAAATAAATAAACTTTAGTTATGCTTATGACTTACCTGAGAAACCTACCAAAGTTGCAGATTTCAGGGGACTACCCACAGAAATTAGTATTCCATAGATTTATGACTATGTCCAAGAATCTGAATTTTCTATAAACACTTAAGATTTTTTTAAATGCAAGTGATTTGTGGACTGTAGTTTATGAAAAATGTTATTACATCATTCAATTAAAATAGGATCTTGTTCTTCCTTATTTCTTTAATCATAATGCGAGTTGATGGTCACTGTGCAGGTATATTTGGTTGGTAGAGAGCTCAGGAAATATGCACAAAGCCAGTTTCTTAGAATACTTACTCATCTCATTCTGATGTTTTTAACATTTTCTCTGATGTTGTAAAGTTCCTCTGGGAAAGAATATGTGATACTAGCTGAGACTGCAGAAAATGCATTGCAGTACTTGTTAATGAAGGGGAGAGAATTTCTTCAGGCTGAAGGCTGAAGATGAGCGGTCTTCATTTGGGGACCTCTTACCTCTCAAATTGTAGAGATTAGAGGTCTCCATAGGCACACCAATTGATTAGTCCCTCTTTAATCAACGATCACGGCCAAGACAACTAATATTTATTATATTTGTAACTTCTCTTGTAAGTATGTAGGGGAGGGGAGTGTTAAAAAACCAGATACATTGCAATGCTTTGAAGATAATTTCAAGATATGTCTTACCTAACTGTATATATTATTTTGTAAATGTTCGGCAGTAAATGGTTACTTCACAGCCATAGAATTTTCCTGTAACATTTTGTACTAGAATTAAGGTGTCAGGTAAAACACATTGAAAGTCTTTCAGAAATTAATGCACAAAGCAGAAAACACATTAATAGGAGTACAATAGAGAATTTTAGAGATAGCAGATCATCCTCCCCATCTTGCTTGAGAAAAACAAGCAAGAAACAGATGCTGAATAACCATCACGTTACACAAAGCCTCCTTCAAAAACACCAAATGTAATTAGGAGTAGCTGTTACTTGAAGAAGGAAATAGCATAATAAGAGGGTTGGTAGCACACATCAAATGGAAGAATTACATAATCTTCTGTATATTTAATACTACATAAAAGGTTTTTATGTGCAATGAGAGAGTCCATCAGATAAGAGAGCTTGGTAAATGAGCACATTTGACATTGAACCATGCTGGGGGTAGATATTGAGAATCTGACTTTGTTTATTATTGTTATTGTCAATATTTATGGCAAACCTTGAACTGACCACATGAGGGGCATTATTTTTTGTGTTTTTTTTTTTAAAAAAAGATTTCTTTCAACTTTTATTTGCCTTTCAGCATTACAGCCACTGTTGGGGTTTCTTAGCTAACAGAGCTAGATTTAATCAGTAGAAATTATGAAAATAAGAATAACTTTTGAGTGTCTGTCGATATTTATTTCTCTCTCTCTCTCTCTCTCTCTCTCTCTCCCCCTACCTAGCTGCCTATCAGAAGGAAGTGAAGATTCTTCCAAGGTCCCTTCTTCACAAGCCAATTTGATTCAAAAGATTCTGAGGGTGTTTCTGGAAGGTATTTTAAAGGTAATATGGCAGCAAAAAAGGAAAATATATAGGAAGTACCATAGGGCTGATTCAAGAAAGCTGTGGCTCATAGGGAGCAGATGGACTATTTGGGAACAGACATAAAAAGGAGCCGATAAGCCTCAAAAAGGGATGTTTTCCATAATTAGTCGTTAAGGGAAAGCCAGTAAAAGTTCTCTTATGCATCATCCTAGTTCCCATGATGTTTTGATGATCTTTTCTATAAAGAGACTGTTATAAGAAGTAAGATTACCAGCAGTACATCCAAGGGACTGCAGCTGGTTTACCTAATCCTTATACCGTGATTGGTAAAACTCACACAAGGGTCAGGGTAAGTAATGAGGCTGACATATCTTTAGGTGCATCTTTGTTACAAGTTTTGGATCAGCTTTAAAGAAGCAATTTTTACTTTGGCTAAACAGAGAGGCAGTGCTTTGTCTTTCTCTTTTCCAAGGTATATGTCTTTTCTTGTCCACAGCTAATCACACAGAACAATCTTTTCCAAGGTATGTCTTTTCTTGTCCACAGCTCATCACACAGAACAATCACAGCAGCCTTCAGATTTTAAGACGCTATGTGAATGTAGCCTCTCTCTCTCTTAAAGTATCTTATTGCAGTTCACTCCAAACAACACTTTTTGTTGCCAGTGATGTTTACAGTAAGAGTGGGGAGCTTAAGTGAGTTATTTCATGGCCTCTCAGATGCCCTTGCTCCCTGGAGATCAGAGTAACCTAATAGACCCCAGTAGGTCATTGCTGACATGGCTTCATTCAAATTGTAGAGATGAGACGTTTCCATAGGCACAACAATTGCAAATACAAACGTGGATTGGGTCTCTGCAGAAGATAAAGTAACTTCTTAACAAAACAAAACAAAAACCCCCCCCAAACATATGGGCAAAGTGTAGATCTAAGAAAGCCCGAATAAGACGGTTTAAAAATTGGGTTTTTAATTAGATTGGGTTTGTTTAGAACATTCTTAGAGTGGTCTACTAGGTGAATTTAAAAATAGCAGTATGATAAAAATGGGTAATATTAAAAAAGAGAGAACAGTGAGACTGAGACTTATAGAGAAATTTAGGACACTTTGCTAACTGTATATAGAAAGTAGCTTTGGAAAAAGTACATAGAGTTTCTCCCACAGTTCTTGGCAGTCTTCCAAAATCAGACTAAGAGTTCTGTGAATTTGGAAAGAGAGGATTGTTTGGAAATATGGTGTCTATGGGGCCTCTGGGCAATAGGAATACTTCGCTTTTCAAACAAGAGGTGACATGGCTCTGGCATGTTCATAGATAGGGGTCAGTGTGTTACAGTGAGTTCTTTAAGACTGAGCCATTCTAGAATGAAGCATGGTTAATCTAAGGAATGGGATCTACAGATGAGGGCGCTAAAACAGTTTGGAAGAGAAGAAAGAGAAGTCAAATTAAAAAGAGACCAGTGTAAGTAGCCGAGGCTATAGAAGGGCTCATGGTTTATAAATAAATTGAAACTGAAAGAAAGCAATTACAAAAGAAGCTGCATTCTCAGCAAACTGACACAAGAACAGAAAATCAAACACCGCATGTTCTCACTCATAGGCGGGTGTTGGAACAATGAGAACACATGGACACAGGGAGGGGAGCATCACACACTAGGGTCTGTGGGGGGGAACTACGGGAGGGACAGCAGGGGGTGGGGAGTTGGGGAGAGATAGCAGGGGGAGAAATGCCAGATACAGGTGATGGGGAGGAAGGCAGCAAACCACATTGCCATGTATGTATCTGTGCAACAATCTTGCATGTTCTTCACATGTACCCCCAAACCTAAAACGCAATAAAGAAAAAAAAAAAGAAGTCGCACTGTGAGGTCATGCAGCTCTGTTGGAGTATATAAATGCTGTTAAACTCATGGGATGGTGTACTTTTATACAGTAAGGAAAATTGCTTGCCTTTATTTAAATCTGATGTTATTCACCTCATTTAATTGTTAGTTTTCTAGGAGAGCGTCAACAGTAAATGGTTAATACATGTGGCATTAGTCCTCAGCAAGCCTTGACCATGGAAAAAAGTAGTGGGAAGCTTCCGTTAAAATCAATGTGGTAGGCAAAACCCCTGAATGCTTTTATAGGAAAGGGCTGGAAAGCACAAGCCCCAGTCACTGAGAACCATTCTCTCAAGATAGGAAGCATATTATGTTTATCTTTTCTTCCTCGATGCTTGGTACAATCCATGGCACATCGTTTTTATTTTGTTTTGTTTTGGCAATGATTTGTGTGGGTGTGTGCACTGTGGTGGATCAGCGTCATGATTTCTCATTAATGCTCAACTGAAATGTTAGTGTAATATCCTTTAAAATGTTCTTTGTGTTCTCTCTGCTGCCCTCCCGCCAACAACACGTTTAAAATGGGAAAGGCATAAATAAAAGAAAAAGGAAAATAAATTCGAGTACCAAGTAAAAAGATAAGAGAAACCCCAAACAAGAATAAGTTTCTGGGCAAGAAAACAAATCACATGAGTAATAGGAGGAGCGTTATATACATAATTAAACATGATATTTTAAATTGGGGCCATGGGATAAATTGGAACACGTGTACTTGGCAAAAGGAATCCATTTGTATGCAGAAATCAGAATTGTCATCAACTGCTCTTACAGTAAGTCTAAATTTCCATCTTTTGCCTTTGTACTTTTCCATTACACACAGCACATTATAACCAGATCAGCGGGGCAGCCAAGAGAGAAGATTTATATTTCTAAATGAAAGTTGATAGTTAATAGCCTAGCTGCATAATGAGCCACATGTCTTGTGCAGAGTCCAAGCTTATGCTGATTGTCCAAGCCTAAACAGTGACCGTCCCAAGCCTGATGACTTCGTCAATAATCCCAGATGGCCCATGCTGTGTGAGGCCCAATAAGTCAGCCCTATCTACAACACTGCCGCTGGGAATGAACACAAGAGAAGCAGCCACACTGGGCTTTCTCTGTGACAGCGAGGGAGGCGCGGTATCTACAACTTAGCACACAGCATGATTCCATTCGTGGAGGAGTCAGATACATTGAAACCACCTTTCAATTCATATTTTAAAATGAAAAATTTACCTTAATTTGGATAATTTGTGTTTTTTTGCACAACGGAGAGTTCAGTGATGGTGAAATTCCTTGTAATGGTGACAGCTTATGTTTATTTAGTGCTTTCCGGGAGCAAAGCATTAGGTTAAGCCCCTTTCATGCTTTGCACCATTTAATCCTAACAAAATTCTGATGAGTTAAATAGCACTGTAATTCTTATATTAATGAAACAGAAACTGAGGTTTACAAAGATTAAATAACCAGCTCAGTAGCAGAGCCAGGATTTGAACCCTAATCTTGTCTGATGCTAAATCTCATGCTTTTACCACAGCATGTTTGCTGTGCTTCAAAATATAATTGAGCAAAAGAAACCTAAAATTTGTTAGTAGGATCTATTAATAAAGATATTAATACTTTAATATCTTGTATCAATATAACATGCCTCTTCTGGAATTCAGCAAATTCTAAGACTCATTGTGTTGAATCCCTTCTGTTCCCACGTGGAAAAGAAGAGACTAGGGGGTGAACATTCTTTAGCAGTAAATAACTGTCCTCTTTGCCTCTCACATTTGACCTATCCTTTCAGGATCATGATAAATGCCATCTTCCCCAAGTAGACTCTTCCAGAACTATACTCCCACCAAAGTCAATATTAAGCATTTTTCCCCATGCTGTCCCCATCATGCTTTATGGAAATTATTCTCTCTGACTTCTGCACAAATTTCTAGGGGACAATTGCCTATCTTACACGCAGCTTTATTACCAAAACACAATGCCAGGCCAAGAAGAGAGTTTAGAATTGAATTCAATCTTATTTAGAATATTCTGTTTCTATTTATGTACTTAGGTGTTCTTATTTGCAATTTTAAGGTGCCCAAGAAATGAGAAGAAAGAACAAAGGCCAAGTCCATTGGTCAATTTGTACAAAATAACTTGAGGCCTGGCCAGGTGTCCATCCAGTTGAATCATCTGTCATGTGGTTTCCAGGTAAGAGTAGTTTGATGATGCTGTTCAAATTCATCACAATAGGGTGGGGAAGTACCACGGAGCACAAGTTGTGCTGAGGAGGGTTGTTCAATGCATCATCCTTCATATTTGCCAGAATTAATTCAAGCTGTCACTCAACAACCATCATTTGAACTTTGAACACTAGTTGGAGAGGGATCAGAAGACATGGTTTTCAGGAGAGGGAAATTATAAAAATGAACATAATAGCAGAAGTCTGTTTTCAAAGACCCATTTTCTATTAGAGAAAATGTGGAATTTTGCTCTCTTCCAAATTTAGTATTTATTTTGTTTGGCTTATGACAATAGCAATGTTTATATGGATAACACTTGACAGTTTACAAAGCAGTTTCACACTCATTTATTGTTTCATTTAGTTTTCAAAATAGGTCCTAATCAGCATCCTGCTGATGCTGAAGACCAAACACACTTTGTTATTTCTTGCATCCAGATTGTGGAAATTAGAGGCAACCAATGAATGGCCATGCTCAGTTAAGGTCATGGTGATGATGTAGAGAAAATGCTATTCTTTGGTTATAGGCATTAAAAGATGCACTTCCTAGGCTAGACTTCTATATCTTTATAAATCAGTCCCTAGTTTCATTTTTAGCTCCTAGCCTAAGGAAAACAGTAAACTATCTCCTGCCTTAAAAACCATCCACTTGAAATCACAACAATTCTTTCACACTAGATCACAATTTTAATTTTAATGTTATAAGTTCCAGGAGACATGTGCAGGTTTGTTACATAAGTATATGTATGCCCCAGTGGTTTGCTGCACCTGTCTACCCATCATCTAGGCTTTAAGCCCCACATGCATTAGCTATTCGTCCTGAAGTTCTCCCTCCCCTTTCCTCCACCCTGCAACAGGCCTTAGTGTGTGTTGTGCCTCTCCCCGTGTCCATGTGTTCTCATTCTTCAACTCCCACTTATGAGTGAGAACATGCAATGTTTGTTTTTCTGTTCCTGCGTTAGTTTGCTGACAATGATGGCCTTCAGCTTCATCTACGTCCTTGCAAAGGACATAGTCTCATTGCTCTTTATGGCTACATAGTATTCCTTGGTGTATATATACCACATTTTCTTTATTCAATCTATCATTGATGGGCATTTGGGTTGGTCCCACGTCTTTGCTATTGTGAGCAGTGCCGCAATAAGCATACGTGTCTTTATAGTAGAATGATTTATAATCCTTTGGGTATATACCCAGTAATGGAATTGCCAGGTCAAATGGTATTTCTCGTTATAAATCCTTGAGGAATCATCTTCAGTCTTCCACAATGGTTGAACTAAGTTACAGTCCCACCAACAGTGTAAAAACATTCCTATTTTTCCACAGTCTCAACAGCATCTGCTGTTTCTTGACTTTTTAATAATTACCAATCTAACTGGCATGAGATGGTATCTCATTGTGGTTTTGGTTTGCATGTCTCTAATGATCAGTGATGCTGAGCTTTTTTTCATGTTTGTGGGCCACATAAATGTCTTCTTTTGAGAAGTGTTTGTTCATGTTTTTTGCCCACTTTTTGATGGGGTTTTTTTTTTTTTTGTAAATTTGTTTAACTTCCTTGTAGATTCTGGATATTAGATGGAGATATTGCCAACATTTTCTCCCATTCTGTAGGTTGCCTATTCACTCTGATAATAGTTTCTCTTGCTGTGCAGAAGCCTTTTGGTTTAATTAGATCCCATTTTTCAATTTTAGGTTTTGTTGCAGTTGCTTTTGGCACTTTTGTCATGAAATTTTAGCCCATGCCTATGCCCTGAATGGTATTTCCTAGGTTTTCTTATTGGGTTTTGTTTTGTTTCATTTGGTTTTGTGTGGCTTTTGGTTTTAGATTTAAGCCTTTAATCCATCTTGAGTTAATTTTTGTATAAGGTGTAAGGAAGCAGTCCAGTTTTAGTTTTCTGGATATGGCTAGCCAATTTTCCTAGCAGCATTTCCAAGCACACAGGAAATCCTTTCCTCATTGCTTGTTTTTGTCAGGTTTGTCAAAGATCAGATGGTTGTAGATGTGTGGTGTTATTTCCGAGGTCTCTGTTCTGTTCCATTGGTCTATGTACCTGTTTAGGTATGAGTAACATGCTGTTTTGGTTACGGTAGCCTTGTAGTATAGTTTGAAGTCAGGTAGCATTTTGCCCCCAGCTTTGTTCTTTTTGCTTAGGATTGTCTTGGCTATACAGTGCCTTTTGGTTTCATATGAAATTTAAAGTAGTTTTTTCTAATTATTTGAAGAATGTCAATGATAGTTTGATGGGAATAGCATTGAATCTGTAAGTTACTTTGAGCAGTATGGCCATTTACATGATATTGATTCTTCCTATTCATGAGGATGGAATGTTTCTCCATTTGTTTATATCCTCTCTTATTTCCTTCAGCAGTGGCCTGTGATTCTCCTTGAAGATGTCCTTTACATCTATTGTTAGTTGTATTCCTAGGTATTTTATTCTCTTTGTAGCAATTGTATTCTTACCTTGTTAGCTGTATTCTTAGGTATTTTATTCTCTCTGTAGTAATTGTGAATGAGAGTTCATTCATGATTTGGCTCTCTGCTTGTCTATTGTTAGTGTATAAGAATGCTGGTGATTTTTGAATAGTGATTTTGTATCCTGAGACTTTGCTGAAGTTGCTTATTGGCTTAAGGAGTTTTTGGGCTGAGGTGTATGGGGTTTGCTAAATATAGGATCATGTTATCTGGAAACAAACAATTTGATCTCTTCTCTTCCTATTTAAACACCTTTACTGATTTCTCTTGCCTGATTGCCCTGGCCAGAACTTCCAATACTATGTTGAATAGAAGTAGTGAAAGAGGGCATCCTTGTTTTGTGCTGGTTTTCAAAGGGAATGCTTCCAGCTTTTGCCCATTCAGTATGATATTAGCTGTGGGTTTGCGATAAATAGCTCTTATTATTTTGAAATATGTTCTATCAATATTTTATTGTGAGTTTTTAACATAAAGGATGTTCAATTTTACCTAAAGCCTTTTCTGCATCTATTGAGATAATCATGTGGTTTTTGCCATTGGTTCTGTTTATGTGATAGTTTGTGTTTATTGTTTTGTGTATGTTGAACCAACCATGCATACCAGGGATGAAGCCAACTTGATTTTGGTGGATGAGCTTTTTGAGGTGCTGTTTGATTCGGTTTGCTAGTACTTTATTGAGGATTTTAACATTGAAGTTCATCAGGGATATTAGCCTGAAGTTGTGTGTGTGTGTGTGTGTGTGTGTGTGTGTGTGTGTGTGTGTGTCTGCCAGGTATTGGTATCAGGATGATGTTGGCCTCATGAGTTAGATAGGAATCCTTCCTTTTCAATTGTTTGAAATAGTTTCAGAGGGAATGGTATCAGCTCTTCTTTGTACTTCTGGTAGAATTCAGCTGTGAATCTGTCTGGTCCTGGGCTTTTTTCAGTTGGTTGGCTATTAGTTACTGCCTCAATTTCGGAACTTGTTATTGGTCTATTCAGGGATTTGGCTTCTTCCTGGTTTAGTCTTGGAGAGTGTATGTGTCCACGACTTCATTCATTTCTTTTAGATTTTCTAGTTTATTTGGTAGAGGTGTTTATAATATTCTATGATGGCATTTCTGTGGGGTCAGGGGTGATGTCTTCTTTATCATTTTTTAATTGTGTCTATTTGAATCTTCTCTTTTTTCTTCTTTATTAGTGTCTCCAAAGGTCTATTTTGTTAATTTTTTCAAAAGAACAGCTCCTAGAATCACTGACATTTTTGAAGTTGTTTTTCATGTGTCCATCTCCTTCAGTTCTGCTCTGTTCTTAGTTATTTCTTGTATTCTGATATCCTTTGGACTTGTTTGCTCTTGCTTCTCTAGTTCTTTTAATTGTGATGTTAGGGTATGGATTTGAGATGTTTCCAGCTTTCTAATGCAGGAATTTAGTGCTGTAAATTTCCCTCTTAACACTGCTTTAGCTGTGTCCCTGAGATTTTTGTACATTGTCTCTTTGTTCTCATTGGTTTCAAAGAATTTCTCGATTTCTGCCTTAATTTCATTATTTACCCAGAAGTCATTCCAAAGCAGGTTATTCAATTTCCATGCAGTAGTGTGGTTCTGAGTGAGCTTAATCCTGAGTACTAATTTGACTGCACTGTGGTCTGAGAGACTGCTTGTTATGATTTCCATTTTTTTTTTGCATTTCATGAGGAGTATTTTACTTCCAATAACGTGGTCAATTTTAGAACATGTGCCATGTGGGGCTGAGAAGAATATATATTCTGTTGATTTGGAGTGGAGTTCTGTAGATGTCTATGAAGTCCACTTGATCCAGAGCTAAGTTCAAGTCCTGAATATCCTTGTTAATTTTCAGTCTCATCGGTCTGTCTAATACAGACAATGGGTTCTTAAAGTCTCTCAGTGTTATTGTGTGGTAGTCTAAGTCTCTTTGTAGGTTTCTAAGATCTTGTTTAATGAATCTGGATGCTCCTGTGTTGTGTGTATATATATTTAGGATAGTTAGCTCTTCTTGTTGATCAGTTTACCATTATGTAGTGCCCTTCTTTGCTTTTTTTGATGTTTGTTGGTTCAAAGTCTGTTTTGTCAGATACTGGGATTGCACACTGCTTTTTTTTTCTTTCCATTTCCTTGGTGAATTTTTCTCTATCCCTTTACTTTGAGTTTATGTGTGTCTTTCCAGTCTACAGCACACTAGGGTCTTAACTCTTTATCCAATTTTCTGTGTGTTTAAATTGGGGCATTTAGCTTATTTACATTTATGTAACCATAAATGTAATGTGATGTGTGAATTTGATCCTGTCATAATGTGATGTGTGAATTTGATCCTGTCATTATGATGCTAGCTGGTTATTTTTCACACTAGTTGATGCAGTTTCTTCATAGTGTCATTGATCTCTGTATTTTGGTGTGATTTTGCAGTGGCTGTTACCAGTTTTTCCTTTCTATATTTAGTGCTCCTAAAAGGCAGGCCTGGGTGGAGATGAGATCCCTCAGCTTTTGATTGTCTGAA